TTGGACAATCGAATTTCACATGCCCTGTTTCACCACAACCATAACATTTGTAATTTAAAGAAGAACTTTCTTTTACCTTTCTCTTACCTTTGAAAGGTTGCCTCCCTTTAGCTTTCATGAATTTTGTAAATTTTTTTATCATGAGGCTCAAGTTTTCATCTTCTTCATTTTTAGAGTGTTCTTCCTCCTTCTTGTTTTTACTCTTCAAAATTTTGGTTTTGAAGGCAAGGTTTCTCTTTTGATGGTGGCCTTCTTTATCATTTAGCCTTTTAAGTTCAAGTTTATGCTCTCTCAACTTTCCAAAGAGAGCCGCCATAGTCATGGTAGCAAGATTTTGTGACTCCGTGATGGCCGTCACCTTTGGTTTCCATTTCCTATCCAAAGATTTAAGAATTTTCACATTTAATTCATCAGTATCAAAAATCTTAACAAGTCCGGTGAGATGATTCACAATATGTGTGAAACGTTTTTGAACGTCAAAGATCATTTCTCCTTGTTGCATTCGAAACATCTCATACTTTTTTGTTGCATTCAGAACATCTCATACTCTTGAATTAATGAGTTCTTCCATGCTCCTTTTACATCATCGGTACCTTCATGGGTTACTCTTAACATTTCCCACATTTCTTGAGTACTCTTGCAAACGGATATCCTGTAAAACTCATCAAATGTTAAAGCAGACGAAATTATATTCCTAGCCCTAACATCATATTGGGCTTTCTTATTTTCTTCAGCCGTCCATCTAGAAAATGGTTTTGGTTCTTCTACATCATTTACAATAACTTTGGGAATAAAAGGACCATTTACAATGGCATCCCATACACCCCTATCAACAGACTCCAAATATATTTGCATTCTTACTTTCCAAAAAGGATAATTTTGCCCCGCAAAAAGTGGGGGTCTGTTGATAGAAGCACCCTCGACAAAGGTTTGGTTTTGTCTGGCAATTTTCGAAATTTGAATGACTATCAAAGCAAGCTCTAATACCACTTGTTAGAATCGCGCAACGGAATGTTCGCGTTTAGGGACAAAAACCAAGAGGGGAGGGTGAATTGGTTTCTTAAGAAAAAAATTAGGGTTTTGAAATTTTCCCCCAAATTTCACCGATTAAAATGCTTGTAATGTAAAGAGATAAGGGAAAGAAGATTACACAGGTTATTTATACTAGTTTGGATCAAAAGACCATACGTCCAGTTGCTAATCACTCGAAAAGAGGATTAACGCTGTCACTATAATCATAGGTTACAATAGATTACAAATTGAAAAAGATAAGGAATAGAAAACACCTCTCTTGAGTCACCCAAGAGATGAACACCTCCTTTGAATACACAAAGGATGAACAATAGTTTTTCCTAGAGATGGCATAACACACAATCCACCAAGAAATCCACTCAGTGATTCTTCTCGCTTCTAGCCCACACTAGGTTTTCAAAAGCCCCTTTTTCTTCCCTACACCAAGTCCTCTAGCAATCACAACTCTTAAATTTTGTATGAAATTGTTGTTTTGCAGAGAGCCTTAGAGAACCTTAAGTAGGGAGAATAGGGTCTGGGAAATAATGATTTTCGAAAACAGATTGGGAATAAGCTTTTTGTAAATTGGTCCAAATTTGAATTTCAAAACTCATAACAAATGTAGATAATCAATTATCTTGAGTGATAATCGATTATTACAGAGCCATTTTCGCAGAGGAGTAAAATAGGACCAGGATAATTGATTATCTGTGTAAATAATCGATTATCCTGAGTGATAATCGATTATCATAGCAAGGTTTTCAGAAAAACAATTTTCAGTGCATGATAATCAATTATCCTAAGTGATAATCGATTATCACAAAGTGGATTTGTTAAAAATGAGTTTTCAAATGATGGACTATGTGCTGACTATCTTGTACTCTAATTATACAGACTCAAAAACATAAAACAGAGTTATTACAAGTAAATACACATGATTATAAGTCTTCAAGTCTTTCAGTCCTTTATTCTTGAATCATTATCAAAATCTTCAAGCTTCATATCCTTGTATGTTTAACATATTCTTTACATGATGTACATCTTATTTGTTTATTTCCTTTTTCCTCTAAAGTCACTATTTTTTATTTTAGAGATTCTACTTCTTTTTCTTATTTATTCAAATTCTTTTTCAAAGATTTATATTCAATTTTCAAATCTTTAAAAGTAGCAAATAGTTCTTGATATACATTATGCAAAGCTTAATAGTCATTTGAAGAACAGTCGGAATCACTTACCTCATAATCGGAAGAAATATTATCATTTGCCATTAAACAAAGATTTGCTTCAACCTCCGAATCGCTTGATTCTGAACTTTAGTCACTATCATCCCAAGCTATATAAGCTTTCTTTTTGAAAAATTTATTTTCTGGTTTGGACAATCGAATTTCACATGCCCTGTTTCACCACAACCATAACATTTAAAACTTAAAGAAGAACTTTCTTTTACCTTTCCCTTACCTTTGAAAGGTTTCTTCCCTTTACCTTTCTTGAACTTTGTAATATTCTTTATCATGAGCTCAAGTTTTCATCCTCTTCACTATCGAAACTTTCTTCTTCCTTCTTTTTCTTATTCTTTGAAATTTCGGTTTTGAAGGCAATGTTTCTTTTGACATTTTGGCCTTCTTCATCATTTAGTCTTCCAAGTTCAAGTTCATGCTCTCTCAACTTTTCAAAGAGAGCCGCCATAGTCATAGTAGCAAGATTTTGTGACTCTGTGATGGCAGTCACCTTTGGTTGTCATTTCCTATCCAAAGATTTAAGAATTTTCACATTTAATTCATCAGTATAAAAAATCTTACCTACCCGAGTGAGATGGTTGACAATATGAGTAAAACGCTTTTGAACGTCAAATATCGTTTCTCTTGGTTGCATTCTAAACATTTCATACTCTGGAATCAATGAGTTCTTCCGTGCTCTTTTTACATCATCGGTTCCTTCATGGGTTACTCTTAGTATTTCCCACATCTCTTGAGCACTCTTGCAAACGGATATCCTGTAAAACTCATCAAGAGTCAAAGCAGACAAAATTATATTCGTAGCCCTAACATCATATTGAGCTTTTCTATTTTCTTCTGCAGCCCATCTAGAAAATGGTTTAGGTTCTTCTACATCATTTACAGTAACTTTAGGAATAAAAGGACCATTTACAATGGCATCCCATACATCCCTATCAACAGACTCCAAAAATATTTGCATTTTTACTTTCCAAAAAGGATAATTTTGCCCCGCAAAAAGTGGGGGTCTATTGATAGAAGCACCCTCGGCAAAGGTTTGGTTTTATCCGACCATTTTCAAAAATTTGAATGACTATCAAAGCAAGCTCTGATACCACTTGTTAGAATCACGCAGCGGAATGTTCGCGTTTAGGGACAAAAACCAAGAGGGGGGGTGAATTGGTTTCTTAAAATACATTTAGGGTTTTGAAATTTTCTCCCAAATTTCACCGATTAAAATGCTTGTGAAGTAAAGAGATAAGTATAAGAAGATTACACAAGTGTTTTGTACTGGTTCGGATCAAAAGACCCTACGTCCAGTTGCTAATCATTCTAAAAGAGGATTAACGTTGTCACTATAATCACAGTTTACAACAAATTAAAAATTGAAATAGATAAGGATTAGAAAACACCTCTCTTGAGTCACATAAGAGATGAACACCTCCTTTGAATCCACCAAGGATGAACAATAGCTTTTCCTAGAGATGGCACAACACACAATCCACCAAGAAACCCACTCAGTGATTCTTATCGCTTCTAGCCCACAATAGGTTTTCAAAAGCCCCTTTTTCTTCCCTACAAAATGTTCTCTAGCAATCACAACTCTTAACTTTTGTATGAAAAAGGTTTGTATATTTTGCAGAGAGCCTTAAGAACCTTAAGTAGAGAGAATAGGGTATGGGAAATAATGATTTTTGAAACTTGAAGTATTGGAAAAGAGTTTTCGTAAATTGGTCCAAATTTGAAATTCAAAACTCATAACAAACGTAGATAATCGATTATCTTAAGTGATAATCGATTATCACAGAACCATTTTCTCATAAGAGAAGTTTTGGACCAGGATAATCGATAATCCTATGAGATAATTAATTATTCCAGAGTTTTCAGAAACCAATTTTAAGTGGGATAATCGATTATCAACCCATATAATTGATTATTCCAACAAACTTTTCAAAAACACATTTTCAAGCAGGATAATCGATTATCCTGAGTGATAATCGATTATCACAGAGTGATTTTAATAAAAATGAACTTTCATAGGATGGACTATGTGCTGGCTATCTTCGACTATAATTTTACAGGCTCAAAAAGACAAAATAGAGTTATTACAAGGAAATTCAAATGATCATAAGTCTTCAAGTCTTTAAGTCCTTTGTTCTTGAATCATCATAAAAATCTTCAAGCATTATCTCCTTGTATGTTCAACATTTATTTGTAACGTTTCGCAAGTGGGTTGCACAAGCAAACTTGGGTTTCTGAGAAAAGTGAAGCTCGACTGCATCAATTTGGGCCTTTATTTTCATCAATTTGGTCTATCTCAAATTACCTTTCTCCCACAAAAATATAGGAAATATGTAATGTGGATGTATGCATGTATATTACTTTTTTATACTAAAACTATGCAAAATGAAACAAATTAAGAAAAATTGAAATATGTTATGCTTTTAATGAAAACATGTGTAAATGCATGATTTATAAAGAAAATAATTAGCTTAAAAATGCTCTTAGATCAAGAAATAAAAAATAAAATGATATACATCAGTGATCGTACTCCTTGACACAAATTTTGCAAATTTGTGGACGAATTATCTCCAAGGAGGGGAGGATGATAAATCTCCAAGTTCTCTTGAGGAGGGAGATGTCATCCCTGGGAGGATGACTTAAAGGGAAGCATCCTCCTCACTCTTATCCTTTAATTTACTTAGAATTTTTCCTTCTTTTTAATTTTCCTAGACTCATGTTTAATCTTGTTTTTGTAGGTTTGCTTAAGAGCACCTATCTTTTGAAGTCTACCACGCTTTTTTGGAGGAAAGGCGTCTTGGACCCAAACTTGGGAGCTTGGATGACCCATGTAGGGAGAGGAGTCAACCTTTGACCTCTTAGAAGACAAAGGCCACAACCTCGGTGAGCAAGCAAGGGGAACCACCCCTTCTAGGATAGAATTAGGGCAACATAAGCTTCTAGAATCCTTATTGTATTTCCCTCTTAGTTCCTCATCCATGCCTATACATAGAAGGCTCTCCATCTTTTGTAAATGGTTAGATATTGGTTCAAATGGCAGCAACCACCATTCATCTTGGGTTGGTCCTTCCCCCAAGTGGTGTGTCACCACTCCCTTTCTCACCCCTCACCTTTTGATGTGGACATGACCTATGACAAGGGCTAAAACAAGGGAAGCAAATGAAGTTCTTCAACAAGTATTGTTGGTTGACCAAATTATGTTTTCGATTAATCAATTAATGGGCTTTAGTTTGGTTTTATTGTAAGTTGTAATAAGGGCCCAATTGAAAACTTAGTCATCAGTCTTTGGGAGACCAAGAGGGTGCATAGCTGATTGACTTTTGGTTACCACAATTTCAGTTACAATCAGTCATTAAGTAGTATCAATTCCTAGGTTAATGTATCATTATTAGCCTTTATTTGTCTTCATTAAGTAGTTTTCAATTCCTAGGTTAATGAATCATTATTAACATTTATTTTTCTTTATTGAATCTTTGTAATTCTGATGGAAAAACTTCTACATAGGCTGAACCATATTTTTATCAAATATAACAAGTTGAATTTTATTTATAAATATTAGAGTTTAGCTCTTTTATCATGGTGAGAATGATTTTCCTAAATTCTTGAGTGATTCAAGAACACTTGGCTATATCAAAGGTCTTTCACATCCTTTGTGAGTTGCCTCCCTTGGAAAGAGTGATTCTTTCCTTCCACCTTATCACTAAATTCTTAAATTTCCTACAAGGTTCTAACCCTAAAGATCCTAAATCATCCCTTGTTCTATTGAGATTCATATCACCTTCTCATATCCATTCTATCTTCATTTATTTTATTTCTTTGTTGGATTGGCTTGTGTTCCACGACTAACTTAGTGTTTATTTTTGTTTTATGTTTTGTCAATCTATTCTTCTCCCTTAAATCCTTAGAAGTGCACCTTCACACTTAGATAAATGATTATCTTCGTGTCTAGTGAAAATCTTTCTTGAGTTTTCTCTTCTTAATTGTCTCAAACACCTTATGTTTTCAACTTTAAAACTGGACTCATATCAGTTATGGAAAGGGGATTTTAAGTTATTGTGTTTAAACAACTAATTAAAAGCAGTAAATCTAAAGATCTAATGAAAGTAGTAAAATAATACAGTAAATGTAATGAAGTTTATCAATGGAATTCTCCAATCATCCTCTTATTCCATTGATTCATTAATTTCTAACCTAAAAGTAACCATAAGATAGATCAATAAGAGTTCTAATAATTCACAATGCAATTAGTTATATTTAATTGATTCACCATATTTAATTGATTTAAAAACTCAAATCAACTTCTAAGAGAAGAAACCGCATAAACCTATAAATTTATTCATGATACAATTGGTCAAGTTCAATCAAACAATCTTAATTATATTAGTTATAATGGATTATACATTATTAAAATCTTGAAGAATTAAACCTCAATCAATGAAAACAAAATTCAAACTAGAAAACCAACCTTAACAACATGGAAAGCCATTCAAATGTAGCAAAAACAATAAAGGAATTGTAAAGTTCGAAATTTAAATGAAAACAATAAAGGAAAGAAAATAAATATAACCTAAAGTATCTTGAATTAAAGAAACTTACGGTAGATTTCGTACAAAAAAAGCTTGTAAATGAAAAGCTTGAAAAGTCTACACTTAAAAACTAGAAAGATAATTAGAAAAACTAGAGAACACATGTGAAAACTAAAAATTGCAAGAACATAAGTTATATCTTTTAACTTTCTCAAACTTTTTTTATACTACAAAGGTTGATATAACTACCAACACACAAGGCCCATAAAAAGTCGATAAAAAACAAATTAAAGAAGTTGAAACTTAGTTTGTCAATTCTATAGTATGTAACATGTCAATTTTACATTTTATTAAGTAAAATGGTTAACTTAAGTTAGTTGAACCAAATTCAATTTGTTTGCTTAACACATTTTTTCTTTGTTGAGTAGATTGAAAAATCTAGAAATGAACTCTTTAAGAAAAAATGGTTGAGCAGATAACAACTTCATTAAGTGAAATCCTTAAATAAAAGCTTATTTCTTTTATAATTTATCAAGCATACATCAATAGGAATTGCAAAACGGGTCAGACCTAGTGGGTCGGCCCACCAGCCCGGCATAATATGGCAGGACGGGTTAGTACTTTCAACCCGTCAGCCCATTTTGGCACGCCCCACCAAGCCCACCAACCTGCCAAGCCAACCCGCGACTCGCTTTAGTAATAATTTTTTTTATTGTGATACAATACAAAGAGTTAGAAAGACAATATATAATATAAAGATTTACGAAAAGAGAATTCTAAAAGTCCTAGTGTCTCATAAAGAGAATTCATAAAATCTCAGTATCTCACTACTAAGAGAACTAAAAAAGTTTTATAATTACTTGTCGCTGCCGTAAAAAGCAGTCAAAGCGACACGATGGTTTTGATGACTCGCGTTTAGTGTAAAAATGTGGTCATCGCTCTTAGGATGCCCGATAACTGAACTACCCTTAAGAATGAGGTTTTCGTAAAGAGGGTTTTGGAGTCGCCACCAATGTTTTTACCATAAACATTGGAAAAGGAAAAAAAAGGCGTTGGTTTAAGAAAAACCAACTTTGGCCATTATAACCAGAGTTGGGTAAGGGAGTTAGTTACGTGTAGGGAAGGTGTTAGCACCCCACAATGCCCCTTTCGAGTTCCCTATGATGGAATAATCTTAAAAATAAAGACAAAAATTATGCTTCTACCCTATTTATTTATTGTAGTATTTAAATGACTGTAGACCCCAAATCTTGTCCGGTTGCAAAATAAAGAGCAGAAGACCTTCAAATTCAAAGATGGGCAAGGCTTCAAAGATCCCTAGGATAGATTTTAGGCCCCATAGTAGAGTAGAAGGGCTTTTTTTGTACAAAAAAATAAGGATTTCCACCTCAGGGGTCGAGACCGCCATCTCGTTTATCGGGACCACCGTCTCGCCTAATGGCAAAGTCGAGACGACCGTCTTGTTTGGCGAGACGACCGTCTTGCCATTTACCATTGGCAAGACCACCTTCCCGATTGGTGAGACGACCCTCTCGCCATTTGGCAAGTCGATACTGCCGTCTCACCAAACGAGACGGTGGTCTCACCATTTGTCAAAGTCGAGACCGCCGTCCCGAATGGCGAGACGGTCGTCTCGACCTTGCCAGGCGAAACGACGGTCTCGACCTGACAGGCGCGAATCCCTATAAAAAGGGAGTGCTCTCCCCGCCATTTGACACAACTCTTCCACTTCTCCTTCTATAATTTCTTAGAATTCTTCTCCTAGAGCCCCTCCGAAGCATTTCCGGAGTTTTCTGAGTGTCTTTAGAAAGTTTTTATAGCGTTTCGAGAGAGAATTCGACGTTGTAAGAGCGAAGGGCTGCCAAAACGCACCCTACCTTTTAAAGAATTAATCAAAGCTTGCTCCGGAGGTTTCTTTACTCTCTCTCTCTCTCTCTTTTACCGCTTTATCATTTATATATGCATTAATTAGGGCCATATAGTCGTCATACTTTAATTCCGCGAATAAAAGGGTAAAAGCGTCATTTTTAATTTATTTACGAAATAACCGGCCTATCATAGGGAACCCGAAAGGGGCGTCGTAGGGAAGCTAATACCTTCCCTACACGTAACTTACTCCCTTACCAAACTTTGGTTATAATGACCAAAGTTGGTTTTTCTTAAAAAACCAACGCCTTCTTTTTTTCCTTTTTCGATGTTTTCGGTAAAAACATCGGTGGCGACTCCATAAGAACCCCTTTGGAAAACTTGCTTTTAGGTCCAGCCCGGTTATTGGACATCCTAAAAGCTCTCTTTTGAAAACCTTATCCCTAGGTCCAGCCTGGTTATCGGACAACCTAGAGGCGTTGTAACCTCACTCATAAAACGGGAAATCGGAACCATCGCGTCGCTCCGACCGCCTCTTTTGACGGTGGTGACAATGACTATCTACATGACCTTAATAACTAATGCACACAAAAGGAAAGCAGTAAAGGAAAGCGATAAAAGAGAAGAGATATGAAGAAGAACCTCCGAAGCGGGCTTTTACAAATCTTGAACTTGAGGATGTTTTTTAGCAGTCCCCGCTCTCTACAGAGACACTCTTCCCTTGAACAAAAAAATTAAGAACTAAACTCCTTGAGTGTCAAAAGATCACTCGTACTCTGAAATAATGCACAGAAGTCCCAAATTAGGTTCTCTAAAGCATAGGAGAGTGTGAGGTGTGTGAAAAGTGGAGAAATGAGGTCCTATTTATAGGGAAACACGCCAGGAAGACTGGACGACCGTCCATGGCTCAAAATGGGCATGGACGGCCGTTTGGTTAGCATGGACGGTCATCCATGACTTTAAAGTAAGCATGGACAACCGTCTGGTCATCTTGGACGGCTGTCCACTGCCTTCTGACGAAATCTCTAATTTTTATTTTCTCAGAAAATCCTCCTTATGCTAAATGGAACCTAGAAAAAGCTACTAGAGGCATAATGAAGCCTTGACCATCTTCGAAATGGAGGATTTCTGAACTTATTGTGAGGTCGGGCAAGATTAGGGATCTACAACTACCCCCCCCCCCTTCACCTAACTGACTGGTTGTTGGCCAATGTACCAAGAGACCAGCTGGCGGGTGAAGGAGTTAACCCTCTCGCCCAGTTGTCCTTCATATGCTCCTTTGGTGCGGTAGCTGACCCTCCAGATGTTAAATGTGTGTTTGATGGGTATGAACCCCCATTTGGCTTTGTCGTAGACAGGGTGTTCCTTTCGACCCTGTGGTGATGAGTGCAAGCTCCCATCTGGCTTGAAGTCCTCTTCTGAGAGACTGATTCGAGTCCTTTGTAAGACTCGATGGGTATAAACCCCCATCCGGTTTGAAGTCCTCTTCTGAAAGACTGAAGTCCTCTTCTGAGAGACTCGATGGCTATAAACTCTCATCTGGTTTGAAGTCCTCTTCAAAAAGACTGGGTTCGAGTCCTCTTTTGAAAGACTCGGTGGGTATAAACCCCCA